TGAATTAATCTATGCAAGTATCTAGCAGGTTAGCAAATATTATTGGCCAGTCAGCGACATTGATCTCTTACATTCCCGAGACTCAAAGGACACCACTTTTCTCAAATGCAAAGCCTATCTATCTTGTTTTGGGTCGTAACTCATTAGATGGCTTCCACCTAAAGAGTTATGACTCCTGTGCACAGAGGAGATGGCAATGAGGCTAAATTCTGACCTTAATTGCCTTAATTTTTGATTTTCCTTTCAATTCATTTATGAATAAATAGAGTATCCACTCAATATCATTATTTTTCTTCATCATAAGTTGGCACGAATGATAAATAAGTTAAGGGTATTACAAGATTTGGAGGCCAAATGCAAGTATTATGACCAATGACACATAAGATTATTTATCTGATAATTGCGACTTTCAACTTTACTAAGACTAGAGATAGAATTTTGACATTAAACCCAGAAAATGAAGATTCAAAGATAAGTTCTCAAACTAGAATTTGGCTATTTCACCATGCTTAGCAAGAGTTTCAAAGAGAAAGGTAACTGGGATTTTTCATGAGTTTTGAAACTTACCTGAAAGGTAGGATGAAAGCTACAGAAGGTATGGTGTTAAGCAATATGAATTAATTTTAGACAGCTTGTTCAGGATACATCCTAATGGGAATAGAAACTTTTTTTTCTACTGTGATTACCCACAAAATTAACTTCATTAACCTTTCTCCTGATCTCCTTTGAGGAAATACTCCAAGGTCAGCTGTCACCTGATCATAACTTCCGTAAGATAACTGGCTGATATTCTCCAGTTTGATTACAGTAAACGAGACAAGTAAATCAACTCAATGCAAGAAAGAGGGCAATGACCCATTTTTCTTCCTACGATCCCGGCTAGATTTTATAAGAGACGGGAGTTTAGAATTAGATTATGGCGATTCTTCTTTTCAATCTAATTTCTAAAGCACCACGATTTGATGGTTATCTAGAAATGAAGCCCACTGCTATATTCTTTGTATGGCGGCCATGACTGAATTTTGTGGAAACAAAGCATTGCATTTTATAGAATATAGCCTCTATCAGTTCATGTTACTCCAATACTGTGCAGGCTTTAGGAATCTTCTGCAAAATTTAAACAGCGTAGCACTAAGAAAAGAGCCTCTGGGGAAGAGAAAAAGAAATTAACTGGATAAATCCTAATTTGGAAGGGAGAAAACTGACAAATGAAAGAAAAATGCAAATGGCAGAGAGGCAAATAGTTTCAGTTAATGTCTAAGTCTCCTGATAATATTTTAGAACCGAGATTATAGATGGGAAGCTAAAGCTGGAAGATGAGTAATAAAAATATCTTGAATCCTACTGGAATATCATGTTCTACATTATTTTTTTTTCTATTCTTGGGGAGACAAAATTACATTAATTGCCAAGAAAACACAATACCGATACACGTAGAAAATGAACCACCACATTCACTCCGAACTACCTTGTTTCTTCCTCGCCCATCCTTAAGTAATTTTCCAAGAGAGAACCCTTTTTTGGGTGATGGGAGAATGTGCCTACAATCCTTAGCAATGATTTTCTGACTGCTGAGTACCATTAGTCATACATCCTTCTCATGCCCATAAATGGAGGCCAAGTGCACACTGATACTATCAGATGAATTTAAACAGGGCATGTTCTGAGAGAGCCCTCACAGCCAGACTGACAACGCTCCTGAAGCAAAACCCTCTTCAACGCAAGCATGTTTTGTTTCATCTTATGCTGGGGTGCACGCTGCTAATAGATGTGTAGACCAACTTGCAATGGCTGTGCTACTGAGGGCATGGAGCAGGTCTCCTACTGGGATAAACTGGGCCATTATTCTGTGACATAAAGTTGTGGTCCACATACTTGTGTTAAGAAGAGAGTCTGTTTCTTTTGAGGAATAGTTTCCTCTTCATCTTAGGTGAGCATGCATTCATTCACTCGTTCATTGAATCATTCCTTCCCATTACAAACATGAGGGTCAGGCACTGGGCCTCAGACTGGGAAACTCCTATGAGAGAAAAGTTCAAACGATTTTCACCAGGCCAACATAATCTCAGCTAATTATTAAACAGGGTTTATGAGGAGGGAATAGCCTTCAATTTTTACTGCCTTAATCCGCTCTTACTTATGCCATAGGAAGGTAGTGTGGGGTGGTCGAAGAGTGGTGGACCAAGAACTGGAAATTCTGAGTTCAAGTTCCAGGGCCGCCCTGGTGGGCAGGCAATTTCCCTAACTTCCCTGGGACTCCCTTTCCTTTTCTGAACGATCCCTGTTGGACTTAAGATTGCTTCTATCTCTGAAATTCTTTCATTCTATATGGTAACACATTCCACAGAGTTTCCTTTGTGACCGGAATTAGTCTAGGATTTCCTCACTCAAGGTTCCCTCCTGACCTCTTCGATTGTTAAACCAAATATGAACAAGAGGCAGTAACATTTTGTCAACAGCCAACAAATTGTCCTTCCACAGGAGGAACTTCGGAGGTCAGGCCACCCATTGCAATATCTAAATTCAAAGGCGATGGTATGACCAACTTGTGAGCTGGTGGGCTGCCATCCAAAAGGATGGAAATGGTTGCTGGCAGCCAAAATTCTTGGCTGGTACATTTTTAATAAACATAGAAAATAGGAACAGCATTTCCCACGTGGATTGCTTAATTTGGTACCCATACCACTGGAACATTTGCTGTTAGGATAAAGATGATGTGATATATCACTTATTTAGCGCAGGATGGATTAATTTTCACAAATGAGAAGTAGGTTATGGAGTCATCTGTAAGGAATTTTTATCCTTGCCTCTTGTCTCTGGCAGGAGATAGTTGGAATCATTACAGCAAAATCTCCACCCCTTTTGGCCCTTTGCTAAGACTTTTCCCTGAAACATAAGCTTTGCTGGATTTACTGTATTGCTATGAATGGACTAAGGCAAATTGGTGAGAATTCTTTGTGGTCGACTCTGCCTTATTAATACTTTTCCAAGATGCTTCCATATGTCTTATTACTTTTCCAAAAAAAAAAAAAAAGGAAAAGCCTCCACAGCAAATGTTCTTTGGTTAATTTGCACTCGATCTTAGCCAAAAGACCGAGAGACAGTGTTTCCTTTTATTTAATTTGAAGAATAATATTCGAGGTGCATGTGTTTTAATGACATAAATTACAGTATTTCTGAGAAGACAATGGACCTCATAGTTATGATTTTTAATTGTGCCTCTCGCACTACCTCATCCAGTTCTTGAGCTCTGTATTTCCCTGTCTCTACCTGCAATATGGCAACAAGGACATTTGCCTGGCAAGGATGTTTCCTCCCCGGTGCTTGGAGATTCTTGAATCAAATACTCCCTGTGATGGTGAGCTGCAATTAGGTACGTGGGCGGAAATTAGCGCTCTTGAAGTACACCGTGTTAAAGCAGACGCACGCTGTTTTTCAGTACCTGAGGCCACCCTTGTTCTGTACCATCGCTCCAGGTCACTGCTTCCACAGCGCTTTTGGTTTGAGGCTGCAGGTTTCAAAAAGAAAATAACTTGGTACGGAGTCTCAAACCAGGAAGCTTTTTATAGTTAAAACTGGGCCACACAGTTCTATTATAGATAAGTCAGGCAGTGACCAAGTACGGCTATAACTTGCTCATTTTCCTTTTGGAAGTATAAATGATCTCAACTGTCAAAACTATCATTTGAACTTAAAATAAAGCACCGAAACTTTTGAATAGATTTCCTGGAGTCATGGTAGGTCCTCCATTTTGGATTAGATCCTCTAGTAATATGAACCCAGGAGCAACAGACCTTTCCCATCCTAGTCATCTTTTTATAGAAAATACAGCCCCTTCCTGCCTCAGGATTACGAGAGACCTGCAATTTATCCAGTTTAAAAAAGCAAATTGGATTTGCTTTTGGATACTGAAAAACTCCCAAAACCGTACATTCTGGCTGCCTCTACAAACGTGTGCCCCCCCCTCCATTTGACTTTAAATGAGTTTGCTTTGCTAGCAATTTACATCTTTTTATACCTTCTAAAGGAGGTGATTTCAAGACAGAACGTGAATGATGGGAAATTTAAAACTGTCGTTAGTTCGCATCCCTCCCCGCCCCCCGGCTGGAATTCCCTTTTCGCTAATGACGATAGAAAGGGGTTTCACTGCTGCGTCTCTTCCACGCCTGCGGTGCCGCGCGTCTCCCGGCGACTGCGTTTCTCCGCGAGTTGGCCGCGTTCGTTTGGGGATGAAGTCATCCCTATACATAGCGTGTATATCAGCTCGTTAAATCGGTACAGCACGCAGGGATTCCTCGGGAAGACAAGGAGAGAAGCGAACAATGATGACCATATTTTACATTTACACGCCCCCCCCCCGCCCCAACTCCCTCCATCCCAGAGTAATGGCTGGGAACCGTGGCGCGGCGGGCTGGCCGGATGCCCACCTACTCGCCGATCCCGGTCCTGAGATACCAACAGGGCAAGCTGAGGACCAGCCCTGCGCGAGGGCCCCCGGCAACGACAAAGGCGGAGTCCCCCGGCCCGGCCCGGGGCCCAGTCACGCATCTCGGTCGCCGCCTCCCGGCTTTCCACGCGGGTGCCCAGAGGTCCCGCGCCCGGGAGGTCCCGGCTCCCCGGTGTCTGCGCCCCGGCTGCAGGGGAGGCCCGGGAGCTCCCCCAGCCTCCCGGGAGCGCGAGGTGGCGGGGAGGGGGCCGACGGCCAAGGACAGCCCCGGAGGGAGGGGGGGGACAGCCCCAATCCCAACGGGCTGAGGGGGGCGGGGTGGGGAACAACAAAGAGCCTGACCACCCCGACTTCGCCGAGCCCGCTCCCGCCCCTCCCGCTCTCCGCAGTCCGGCGGGGGCCCGGGCCCGTCGCGGGTGGGGAGCGCCCGGCCCCCCGCCTCCCCTCCCCTCCCCCCCGCGCCGCCCCCTCGCCCCCGGGGAAGGAGGGGAGGAGGGCGGCGCCTGCGTGTTGCTCCGCCGCGCGCCCCGCCTCCTCCCGGGCTCCTGGCGGCGGCGATCCCGACTCTCCTGCGGCTGCCGCAGCTGCCGGTTGCACACGGCCTGGGCGGCGGGCGCGGGCCTGGGGAGCGGCGGCCCGGCGCGCGGCCCGGAGGGCACCCCTGAGAGGGCGGCCGAGGAAGCTGCCGGAGGCGACGGCGGTGAAGGAGGAGGGAGGCTGCGGCGGCCGCGGGACCGCTCGGCCTCTCCGCCCCCTCGCAGCCTTTCTTTCGCCCTCTTCCTTCACTCTCGGGACCGCCGCCTCGGCTTTGTGCGCGGAGATGGTGTAGCCCCCTGGCCGCCCCAGGAAGCCTCCGGCCACTTGTCTCGCGTCTCCCGGCTGCGTCCCCGCCCCTGGAGAACGGACCCCCCTGGGCTCGGCGCCTGCCGCGTCTCCCGGCTGCTGGGGAAGCCTCGGCGCCGCCGGCACCATGAGGTGAGGGGCGCGCGGGGCGCGCGGGGCGGGGGCCGGGCGGGCCATTGTGCCGCGGGAGCCGCAACCCCGCTGTCCTCGGACCCCGCCTTCCCTCCCCGGCGCGGCTCTCGGGTCTCCGGTCTCCTCTCCCGCTCCCCCTTTTGTCCCTTCTCATTTCTCTTTCTTTCTTGTAACCCTCCCCAGCCTCTCGTATTGGGGGGGGGAGCGTCTCTTTTCGACGGTCCCCCATTTTTCCTCAAACGCTCGTCTTTCGTCCAGGATTTCCCTTCCCAAATTCAATTTGTGCCTGACTCCCTCCCCCCAGCCTTTGCCAGCCAAACCCGGGAGAGATGGGGAGGGGTTCGAGAATCGAGGCGTGCGTGTTGCTCGGGAACAGGTATTTTCCTGTAGGTCTGTAAAAATCCCGTGCACTTTTAGGACACGACTCTCGTGTTTTATGAAAAAAGGAGGAAAAGTTTGAGAGATCTGAAATCTCTGCGGGTATAAAGTGCTCCGGCAGTGGAAGGGGAAGGAGCTTTGAAAGGGGAATTTTCCCGATGGGGAGGGAAGGGAAAGGATTTATTAGGTTTATACGGGGAGGGCAGCCGAAGACCGGGATAAGTTAGTTGTTCGGGGTGTGTAAACGGGGGCGGGGAGGGATCTGTTTGCAAAACCCTTTTCTCTGCCTCCTTCTGTAGCAGCCTGTGTTGCATTGCAGCAGCTGCTTCCCCCCTTTTCTCTGGAATCAATAAAACAAGCTACATTTTTTCAGCCCCAAAGAAAAAGAATTGAACGTACCGTCGTAATCTAGTTTTTTAATTGCTACGATGAAACAGACGGTGTGACATTTTTCTTTTTTTGTTTCTCCAATTGTGTAAGGGAAAACCATGGCGTGGTATGTCATTCTTTGGAGGTTTTTTCCAGCCTTTCCTAAGCCTGTGTGTGTCCACAGCCGCCTCTTTTCGGATTGGTGCAAGACTTCGTGAGAAATGGGACTTGGTAGACTGAAGGCTGATCCATTCTGCGTTATCATCCTTATAGGCCTGCCTTTTAGGTTAAACAATTGTGGATAAAGTAAATTACTCCATTTCTGTGTCCTGGAAGAGATAGTCTTACAGTTCATTTGGATTTGAATCTCCTTTGTGTTAAAGATTAATGGCCAACCGTTGCCAAGACCTTTATAATGTAATACAATGAGATTTGAATGATATAATCTACAAATTCCTTTGCTTTGGCAAGAAAATGTCATGTCATTGGAATTCTTCCTCAATTTAAGTAGTTTTTTCTTTTAACTTTAGTTTTCTGTTTTCTTTTTCTACCACTGCTGAACACTTTCCCATTTTATTTTTTTAATTTTTTTCTGTTGCAGCTGTGTATTTCAGTTTACTGTGAAGTTGAATTAATGTTTTTCTCTGATTCCAAGTTATAGATTTTCATTGTGATGACCTTAAAAATTGTGTTAAATACTGTGTCTCTAAATGACCCCTTTCCCTTTGTGATTTTCACACGAGTTATTTTCAAATGTAATGGATTGGCTTAAAATGTGATTAGGACATACAAACCCAAAAAACATAATCTTTGTAAAATATCGCTTGAAAAACTGGAGCCATTGGCTTTCAAGCATGGATTTTTTAATTAAATTACTAATGTCATTGAAAACTTGGAAACTCTAATGAAACATACGCAATGTTATATCTTGTAATACTATATATTGCTGATTTCTCTTTTAAAGATTTAATGCCATAGGGGTCTTGCAGACCAGAAACCATCAGTTTTTTCCCCAAACTGGGTTAACTTCACTCAACACTGAGCAATGGAAAACAGTGAAACTGGAAAATTTTTAAATAAAATGATTGTAAAGTGTTCTGATTCAGAGGTTGTGAACTAAAAAAAAAAAAAAAGGTCAAGTTTTGGATATTCAGTGAAGTATGATCTCTATCCTGTATCATTGTCAATCTGTCACAGATAAATTACGTCTTCACGTAAAAGTGCCATTTCTAATAAAAAGTAACTTGTACTTTTGAGGCTCTTTTTCTGCTCTATTCCTTACTCAGTATAGAGAGGGAGGAATCTCACCGATGCTTTCCAGTAGCACAAATACAGAACATGGTGCACAGGTCAGAAAAGTTTGCTCCAGCGGCCTACAGTGATTCTTTGTAGGCTGATTTTGAATAATTCAAGAGCAGAAAAGAGGGTCAGCTTTTCACACTGGAAGGCATTGGCTTGTTTGGTAGGTGGCCTATGCGACTTGTGGGTACACAGTTCCTTAGATACCTGTAGAAGCAGGATGGTCCGATTTGGGGTAGAAGGTTCTCTTGCTGGTTGCAAAAGGCTTGGGGATATTTTGGTGCTTATGATAGGGCTTTCAGGTTATGTTAATATTTGACTTAGTCTCAATGATGCTTTCAAGTACTGTAGGACATAAATGTTACACTATTAAATTGAGTCTATTTTAAATAGCTATATTAAGGAGTAGTTCTGATGTTCTAAAGGCTATCCAGAAATAGGCATGCCTGGGTAGGAATTTCCACTTAAGTTGGTCAGGATTCTGAAGAGAGGATATGATGAATATGTTGCTGTTTAAGTATTTGAGATAAGATCTTTTAGATGATTTTAATTTTAGGAATAGCATGCCTGCTGTGATGTAATGTAATAATCCCTATACAGAAGGGAACAAATAATACTTTACATTCCTGAAACAGTCTTAAAGGCATTCTACGCATGTTAAAAGCAGTGTATAAACTTACTTAATACTTTGCTTAAAGATGAGAATTTAAAAAAAATGAGAAAAGTCTATTTCACATACAAAATAGTGAAAAGGTTGAGGCTCTCCAAACTAGTACTTTTAGTGTAACATATAACTTTTTGGGTTCTATTCTTATTGTTTATTTAATGTTTCAAAAGGTTTATGATTGAGGTAGGTATACATGTAATATTGTTAAAGTGCATCCCTTTTAAATGATTGCATTTTCTCAACTAAGTGGTTAGTTACGTTTATCTTTTGTTTGCTTGTTTGTTTTTCTAAATAGAAAGTGGAGCTTGTCTGATCTAAAATAGTTGCATGTAGCCCAGTGGCTAAGAAGAGCTCCGAAGATTTTGGATTAACATTCTCGGGTCGTATTGCATAGTCCAGGATGCTGCTCACTATTCTGTGACTTTCCCCTGTAAAAACGTGCTGGGCTGTGAGGATTTGTCCAAGCCACTTACCAGCTGGATGACCTTGAGCTATTCACATTATTTCACTGATTCGTAGTTTAAAATACGTAAAAATGGGGATCATTCTTTACTGGGTAGTGAGAGTCAAATGGTAATCGAAGAGAAGGTACTTTGTGTACTTGTAAGCATTATTCAATTATGGTACTCCTCTTGTTTTGAGGCTTAATTATATAAAACTTCTGGGTAGTTTGCTTCACCTTTCTGGGCCTTATCTAGTTCAAGGGTGGCAGGAGGTTACATTTAGCTTACTTACTGGGGTTGGTACTTGCTGCCACGTTGGTTGGTACCGAGTTGCACTTCTGGGCTTGGGGGGAAGGGGGGCCCTGATTAGTAATGTTTGATTGGCACCAGGGTCCCAGAGTGCAGCACTGCAGAGTGTTTCCTGGAATGCAATTATCTGTGACCTAGTCCAGCCTTCTTATTTTTTAGGTGAGGAAATTGATCATTTCCGTTTCCTTTCTCAGGTATTTTTAGAGTCTCTGAAATACTTCTTGTGATTTTGTTACCTTCGTTTATGGTAGTGATAAATGCACTATACATTTTAGAGTGTGGTACAAACAAGGCTCAGAAGATGCATGTTTTATATTCTGACTCGTTAATTGAGCAAACTGGTAAAAATGGAGCTAATTCTACTATTTTACAGAATAGTTGTTTCAAATGAGATAGCCATGAAAGGATACAACCAGTAGTGTCTGTGTTCCCATGGGTCTTCATTTATACTTCTGGCTGTTGGATGTGTGATTTCCCACAAAGGTTTATTTTAGGGGCAGGAGCCAGATTTGTATTTTTTAATATTATCATTGTCTTGCATGTACGCATTGTTTTGCATTGTAGGTATTTATCAAGTGAATAAGTCTTGAATGAATGTGGCTTAGTGGAGAAAATTTACCGAAGTTTATTCATTCTTCAAGGCTTAGTCTATACCTTGTTAGCCTATTTGGAATGAGCAAAGTAACAAGGCAGGCCTGATTTGGCTGGTATAGGAGAAATTAACATACTGGCTGGTGGTTTTGGTTACTATCCTCCATATAGCGTAAATCTGGCCTGATTGTATAACTTGTAAAACACCCAGTCTTTATCATGAGTGTAAGAAGTATTAGGAGAAATGCGATTTCAATTTTTACATGGTTGTGGGGAGAAAAAGGATACTTAAACTCTTCCTAGGCCAACTTAAAGTTTGCCCCCCCCCACTTCCTCTTTCCTATCTTTGAAATTGACGGATGGAATTGAGTGGAAGTCAAAGTTAAAAAGACAATCTGAGCTGAGACTGCACCTCAGTGGATGCTTTGCCTAAGAAGGGCTTAATGAAGTTTTCTGGACGAGGACGCCCTTATCAGACCTGGGAAGTCATCCCTGGTTTCCCTACCTCCCAGCTATTCTGAGTGTTCCTGGGCACTCTGCATGTTTTTTGCTATAGCATTTATTATATTGTTTTATAATTACTTGGATCAGTCTGTCCCTCTTCAGTGTAAGCTCTCTGAGGGCAGGGACTGCGTTTTTATAGTCATGGTATCAGCAAAATATTTGGCAAATAGTGGGTGCTTGTGTAAGTTTTTGACTTTGACTGGTGTTCCTTTCCAGAACCTCTTCACTAACAATAACAGCCACTTTTTCAGGAGCACTCATAATGTTCTAGAAGCTGTACTGTGTACTTTGGGGTGTACGATAGTATTTGGCATATAGTAAATGTTAGTAAAGTTATTTAATTCAAGCAAACAAACAAGAACAGCATCCTGGCCACAGGAATAGGTGTAGAGTTTGTTTCTTACTCAAACACAAAGCTCAGGAGTGGCCAGAAAGATTCC